AGGTTCTCATAATAGCACCTGGAATCACTCCTGGAAATGTTTTCATAATTCACATCTTGTTAGCCACAGGAGTCCCAATTACATGTCCTCTTTTCTCATTTCTACCAACCGATTATTAACATTAGATAATAACAGACTACTTCTGCTAATACGTTTCCTGACAACATCAAACTAGACAATGTCTTTGTGGTGCAATAATTGAATAATTGTGTGAAGAAGGGCTGAATTACTAGAAAATGTTTTGCTAAAATCTTATGTGTTGTATAGAAACAAAAGCACATTTAGAAACAGCTGGAATGCTGCTATAAAAATTAAACTGATTGTATTCAGGATTCCATATTAAGAATGGAGTAGTAAAAGTGTTCCTCCAGGATTATTAATAGTAACAATAACAATGACTAACATTTATGTAGCACCTTAAGTTAACAAGGGATATTTTATAGATAACATATATATATATGTTATATATTATATATAAAATATATAATTGCATCAGACCCTCACAGTAACCCTGTTGGAAAAACACCACAGGTGCTTCTACTTTGCATTGTACAAATGAGGAAACTGAGGTTCAGAGAGGTAATTATTCCTTCATAGTCACAAGACTAGTAAATGTCAAAATTCGAATTAGAACACAGATCTTTCTGAGTTTAAGAGTTCTAAACTCTAGCATTCTCCTTAGGCTACCTTAGGCTGATATTCCTTTTTTCTTTTCTTTCATTTTTAAAAAATTATTTTTCTGACCAAAAACATGATTCTGCAAAAGTGAATCCTGGAAATGAAAACAATCACAATATTTGGTTCAGAAGAGGTATATGTTGTTGCAATAAATTTAGGGAGGAATGAGTCAACACTATGCACTTATACTAGAAGCTCTGTCACTCAGGCTTCAGCTATATGTGACCGCCAGAAATAACCATCCTGAAGCCCATCTGATCATTTCCCAAATCCCAACTGATAGTCATTGTCATGCTTAAATTGATCATGGGGTGCTCAGCACAGGTTTTGAAAACTCTCTAAATAACCAGACAAGTTGTGACTCAATCATTCCAAGATGCCAGACAAATCCTAGTTCAGTGTCTTGACTTTGCCCTTCAAGGATAAGGAGGTGCAAAGGTATGGCAGGGAGGAGGGCAGACTAGACAGGACACAAATAATTCATGCTATGTCCACCCCAACCCAGCAACTGTTCACACACGTGCATGCAGATGAAATGGAAAAAGTAAAATGAAAAAGCAAAAAATAAAATAAAACAGGAAGTGTGAGCTAAGTTGGGTGTCGGGGATACGGGTAGGGAGACAATCTATACCAGGCTCCTTCCTCTCCATCTCTCATCAAGGACTTCTCCCAGTCACCAGTACAACAGCAGTAGGGACACCCCAAAGCATAGGAATGAGGCAGCTGTTTAAATGTGCCACATCCTAGGAATAACCTTGGAGGGAAGGTAACTTTCCTTAAGAAAGTTTTGAGTTGTTGGCACACCCTAAACAAACACCACTGAGAAACTTATAAATGCCACTAAAATAAGTAGAAAAACACTCAACATTTGTAAGATAGCAGCAACAGATGTAATCATTTAGGTTTACTTGGAAGGTATCCTTTTCATGCACATTAAAAACATTACTCTCGAATTTACCCCCTTAAAGTCTTTTATTTAACTTTTCGTCTGCCTGAAAACTTAGCACAGCTGTCTGTATACAATAAGGACTTAATAAATATTTGCTGAATGAATGGAAAATATGAAGCAGACACATTGAAAACTTATCCTGACATTGCCCAATGTCCAATGTTCAATTCTTGACTACACCATAAGACCTCCTCCTAATGCTAAGAAAAACAGATCCAGCAAACTTCTAGCACCAAGAAAATACCTGCCCATAATCATGTTGTGTTTTACAAATTTATCATCCAAGATTCCCTTACTGCTACAAGAAATGCTACCAAGAGTATTTGGAAATATCAAATGTAGGAGGCCACACGTACAAGAGGAAGAGATTTTGTCCTCTCAAGAATAGACTGTGATGACATCCAGGCCAGGATTCTTTCCACTACACTACCAATCCTTTTCTCTGAAAGAACAAGCATGGATTAGAGCAAGCTCAATACAATAAAATCCATGTCCAACATGTCTGGTCATATTGGAATATGGTTAAGGGGTATCCTTCTTAAAATAAGCCAACGAACTAGCTGAGACTTGGAAATCCTTGCTTCCTATACTGGATAGGGATTTCTTTTCCCCTTATAGTCTTTAAATTTGGCCTGCAGTGGAAAAAGACTTAAAAGCTCTGCAGTCCAAACTGATAATAATAGAATCTTATTTTTTTTAAACTTTGGTATACCTTATCTTTTTTTCCTTATGACCACACCCCTCAGACCTCATCTTGGATTTTATATTTCAACTCTCTAAAGCATCCATTATTTAATATTTTTTATTACTTGTGTTAGTGTCATATTTTCCTACTGCAGCACTAGCTCCATGAGAGAGCAGAGACCAGAGTCTTAGCTAAACTTTATACATCCTCAGCAGTTTGCACGGTACTCTATGAACCGAGCTTAACATATACTTATTGCATTTCTAAAAAGAGCAAGAGTTATTTACTTTTCCCATTCCCATTTAAGGAAACCTGTGTCCAGACAAGACAAGAGTCTTCGCAAGGTCCCACCGCTTGCTAGTGACACAGCTAAGAGGAAAACCCCGTTGAGATGTCACCATCATCCTGAAGATTTCCCTAACTTCTTTCTCTCCAGTTTGTAATTCTCTTTACCTAGACATAATACCCTATCTCCCTTAGACATCTTTTAAGGCATCTTTATGATGTTATTTCGTACCATACTTACTTATTTACAAATGATATGCCTACTAGATCATAAGCTCCACGAAAGCAGGGATTGGATTTCTTTCTAATTTGCTTTGCCCATAATAAACTCAGAAGGACAATAACATCCAATGAGCATTTTGTTAAGCGCTTACTAAATACCAGGAGGGCAGCTAGGCAGAACAGTGGATATCGAGCACTGGGCATGGAGTCAAGAAGATCTGAGTTCAAATACTGGCCTCAGACACTTACTAGCTGTGTGACCCTGGGCAAGTCACTCAATCCTGTTTTTGCCTCAGTTTCCTCATCTGGAAAACAAACTGGAGAAGGAAATGGCAAACCACTCCAGTATCTTTGCCAAGAAAATACCCAATGGGGTCATGAAGAGTCAGACACAACTGAAAATGACTGAACAATGCTATATATTAGGAGTGCAAATATAAAATTGAGATGGCCCTGCCCCTCAAAGAGTTTATATTCTACTTGCAAGGAATCCAAGTATCTCAAGTCTACGATGCCCTTAAATCAAAAAGTGGAGAGGGTCACCAGCAGCTTAAAAGAGGCTTGCAAGCACTTCGTACTATACTCTCCAAATATTCTAAGAGGCAGCAGCTTGCTAACTGCCAAGCTGCCAAACTCTGCCATGTCTGGTCCACCCTGTGATGCCACTGGGATTGTGAAAAATGGCAGCACAATACCCTGAGTGTGATTCTGAAGAGGATGAAATGCAGGTTAAACAATTTAGCTAAAGCAGAGAACAAGGGAGAGAGGGAAAAAAATCACCTCTTTAGTTGGTATCTGGGGGGGTGAAAATACACCCAATTAGACGCGTCCGGATAATTTTCACATCAAACATCATGTGCTCTCAAGGCAACTAATTGCACTGCTTGTGGTAGATTTTCCCAAGTTTTCAAGAACACTGACAGCACTCTTCAATAAACCATTTAGCATAACAGAAGGTTAAAGTGGGATACACAAACACTTGCTTTTTTTAATTTACACCTTTCATTTACTTCCCTAGAAATGTCAGAGAGAGGCTAAGAGATTTATGATGCACTGTCACTGGAATCCTCCTTTTAAGAATCACCAGCATTGCATTTCCAAAACAGAATTTGAGGTAGAGAAGAAGACTGAGGAGCTAGGCCTTTAAACCTTTAAGGCTATATAGAAAGAGGACAGGTTTTTAAAGCAGCCAGGTTTCACTTTGCACCTCTCTCTCTCTGTCTCTCTCTCCCCCCCTCCCTCCCTCCCTTCCTCTCTTTCTCTCTCCCTCCCTCCCCCCCCTCGCATAAGAGATAGACCATTAGGTAAGCTCAATATTAAGAGCTCAAAGGCTAGAACTAAGAGTTTTAAAAATGCAAATGTAATGACTTCACATTATCTCTTTTCTAGTAACCAGGTAGAATCTCCAGCACAGTGCAAAGCTCAGGCTAGTAAAATACAGCTCATAAGGGACTATTCTCTGCCTTACAAACTCTTCTCAGCATGAGAAGCTATTAGCTTTTATATCATTATGTTTGTGCAGTTTTAATCATTTTCCTTTTTGAAGAAGGCCCTTGGTGAACCACTAAGATATAAGATGTATTTTTTAAGCAGATGTGATACATGTGCAATGTTTTGGGTTAAAAAAAAAAACCAAATGAAGCTGGCAACTTTAAGCCCACATTCCCACCCTGGGAATGGGAATGCTACTGCTTTCATTGTATAATATTTCTCCCTTATTGTTTATTACTTTAAATGGCTTATAGTAAAATCTCGCCTTCTGAGAGACCAAGAACTAAACTAAAATTAAACTTACTTAGCAAAAGGTTATTGGCCTTAGGGTCATCACAGTATATGATATAAGGCAGGTCCCAGCCCTCTCTAATATAGCTTTTCTTTTAAAAAGGATGCCCAGATGCAGAGCAACAAATGCAGCTGTAGATGTCTTTAAGGGGAAACATCTCCAACCCTTACCTAGCACCCCAGCAACCATGCTTATATTCAATACATCAAACAGATAACTCAGACATGCAGCTATCTCCTTCAACTCCAAAGTCCAACATAACTGAAATTTCTTCTCCTATAGCAATTGTTATAGTTTCTAGTATTAAAGGTCTAGGTTCAGGGGACTTTTTAAGATTGTAAAATCATGTAAGAGTTTTAATAATTATGCTTCTCCTTTAACATTTTCAGCAAAATCCAGAATCTTCAAGGAATCTTTATTATTTGTTGTTTCAAAAAGCCAAATTCCAAGATGCATGTTAACATCTGGAATTCTATCAGGCCTGCAGGATTTGGAGTCTGGACATGTGATCTGGATAAGAAGCTCTCCAATGAGGAAACCTCCACTACTCATGCAGGTCAGGCAACACTGAAGAGTTAAGTGACTTATCCTAGGCCACCCAGCCAGTTTGTGTTGACATTAAGCCAAAGATGAGAAACAACATGACAGAGCATCAGAAAAATGGTACTTGAGTCAAGAAGGCCTGGATTCACATCCCACCTCTCCTTCTGTTAGTAGGGGCTGAAACCAAAATCTTCATCCAGTGTTTCGGTCTAATGGTGCCAGAGTCTTGGGGAGCCAAAATGTTTGCACTAGAAAGACAGCATGTAGTGTGTGTAGGAAGACTAGACTCTGTCTTTCAAGCATGTAGGACACTAATATAAAAGCTAATAATAGCCAGCATTTATATAGTGCTGTCAGGTTTACAAAGTGCTTTACAAATATTATGTCATTTTATCCTCACAAGACCCCTGGGAGGTAGAAACTATTATTATCCTCATTTTACAGATGAGGAAACTGAGGCAGACAGAGGTCACACAGCCAATAAGTCTGAGGCTGAATTTGAACTTAGGTCTTTGTGACTCAAGTATACGGTTACATTTATGTCATTACTGTGATGAATTTGACAGGACCTGAGCCCAAATGACCTACTTGACAGTGTTAATGTCATCGCTATTTCAGGACCTCAAATATGCTAGTCCAGGGAAATCAAGACTCCTCTGGATAAGTCAGTCGACTCAAAAGCAATAAGCCGCCAACCGGCTGTGTGATATTGGGCAAGCCGCTATCTGCCTCAGTTTCCCGAGACAGCTGGACTCAATTAAAGCAGGCGTTCTTAACCTGGGACAATGCATTTTCTTTCTCAATATTCTGATAACTTGTATTTCAGTGTAATTGATTTCCTCTGTAATCCTATGTGTTTTATTCTAAGCATGTAAAAACATTCTGAGAAGGATCCATGCACTTGACCTCTATATCTCCAAGAGTCTATGACATAAAGCTAAGAACTCCATATCCAAGGTCACTTCCAGTCACGATGCAGGGGCAAACGTTGTTTGATTCTAACACTGTCACTGAATTTAAAGCATAGTAGCCCTTCTGTAATTCCAAATGGTCAGAGAATTTCATGAGCTCTTCACTGTCTGGTCAAGTCTACCGGACCAGTGCAGAGGAGCCGGTCAAGAGCAGTATGAGCAGAGGTGGGGTCTTTATGCATGCCAGGAGGAGGGTGGCGAAAACACCAGGGTCTAGCAAAAGATCCTTGTGCCTCTTTCCCAGAGGCAGGCGCATTTTAAAATATTTCATCCTATCTGGGATGGGGCTGTGTTTTTTGGATGTTGGTGCTGATGGCCCCTGATGTGAATTGTCTTAGCGCCAAGAACGAACAGGGAAATAGCAACAACTTAAGAGCCTGGGTAGGTTAATCCTTTCATTGGTAAGAACTGGGGAGCAGGGTACTTATGGGGGAAAAAAGAGCAAGAATGGTGAAAGTAAGAGGACAGGACTTCCATAAGTCTATTTAAATCCCAAATTCTCAATCAACAAATCCTATGTCATAGACTAATAATTCCACATGTGGCAGAGGAGGGGAAGGGGGATGTTGACACGTTTATACAACACCTTGAGATTTGTTAAGTACTCTCCTCACAACACCCTTGTGAGGAAGGCAATAGAAACATAATTATCCCCATTTTACAGATGAAGAAACTGACTGTGACTAACCAAAAGGTCAATATGGATAGTAAGCAACTGAGATACGATTCAAACCCAGACTTAGTGACTCCAAGTCTAAGACATTTATTGCTGCCTTTGGAACAAAACAAAGATAAAACAAATTATCTTTACATGATTTGTCCACTTCAGAAACCCAAAGCAGGCAGAGTAATAAGAAAGGATGTCCTACGGAATTCCACCTGCTACCACACTTCTAGAATTTGGAGACCCTTGATCTAGACAAGGGATCCTCTCTGAAAAAAGGAAGGCATCCCCACCTCCTCCAAGGGTCTCTCCTTAGGTAAGCACCATAGCTGTTTGAATTTTATGTGTACCTTGCAGGTCTTAAGAAAATCACTCTCTCGGTTGCTAGGTGGCGCAGTGGATAGAGCACTGGCCCTGGATTCAGGAGGACCTGAGTTCAAATGCGGCTTCAGACACAAAAAACATTCACTAGCTATGTGACCCTGGGCAAGTCACTTAACCCCATGCCCCCCACAAAAAAAAAAATTAAAAAAAGAAAATAAAATCACTCCCCATACATATTAAACAATGCTATGCTGTCATTCCAATTATAGCAAACTGGTTCAGCAGAGGAAGACCAAAAGTTCATGCCTTGAGGTCAGCCAACAAATATTTATTAAATAAATGCCTACCATATGCCAGACAGCTGCACTTAACACACACATTTTTTGTTTTAACACTTCTTCATTTTAGTGGGGTTTTATTTTGTTTTTCTCTTTTTCTTACTTAAGGACTTTTAACCTGGGTGCCCGGACTGGTCTCAAACCAAGATACAACTTCATATTACTCTGGGAGGGAGGTACACAAGAAAGAATCTTATTTTCCTTTTCCACCTTTGCCCAAAGGCAAGGAATAAAATGACTCCAAGCTGTAGCCACTGCCATAAGCCCTTAAAATGGCTAATGACCTACCAGCCTGCTCCGACCCTACTAAGCTTAAAACCCAAACCCCATCCTCCAAGGACAGCCTTGTTTTTAAGAACCAACCCTGTCCTCTCTTCCCTTTTCCACACCCCTACAAAAGTATTATGCATTAAATTTCCCAATATACCCACTTTCATCCTGTATCCCTCTACAGGCTTTAATAAAGATATTTAAAACAGGTGAAACAGAAAGCATCCCTTCTTCATTTAACACAGACATAAATTAAATGGCTGACTTGTGTAGAATTATTCCGAGGTATTTTGTCTGAATGGTCATGCTTCTCAGGAGAGCGTTACCAAATACCCAGTAACCACCTCCATTTCCTGGGGCATCGAGGTGTTCTTGGAAGTCTCCCATCCAGTTACTTGACCTAGGGGGGGGGGGAGGGTAGAGGGGGAAGAGAAGAATCTGACAGGATGTGAGCCAACATGACCTGCCTGATAGTAGTGTTAATGCCATCATTATCCCAAGGCCCCAAACATGCCAGTCCAGGGAAATTGAGTCTCCTTGGGACAAGCTAACCTGCTCAGCAACCGTTAACTTGCATAAAAACTTGCCCTGCTATTTCAACTGCACTTTGGTTTCATTTCAGGCACCATCAAGGCTTGGTACCATGCCCAGTCCCAACACTGATAAGACTCCCCACAGCCACAGTCCTGAACAGAAAAGGTAAAAGATTGTCTCCCGCCAGGGTCTGAAACAGCAACAACAACAAAAACACAAAACAAAAAAGCCGTGTAGAAGGGCTTCCTGAAACTGATCCTTCAGAATCTCTGTAGGACAAAGAGAGTTTGTACAGTCTCCGTGTCAATTCCAACCTCACAAAAGATGGACATTCTACAACTCTCCCTACTTCAATTTCTCTTCAATGCAGAAATTAGCTCAATAGAGGAATTCCCTGGAGGCTAGGGCTCCTGGGAAATGCTCATTTCCAAAAGTCCCATGCACATTCAGATGCAGGACTTTAACCCTCTCCTGGTTGTCATGGCTTGGAGCTAGTAAGCTAGCTCTGATTACCTTGGGTACAGCCTAGATCTTCCATTTTTACAAAAGACTGGAATTTGCTCAGCCTCCAGGTATAGAACAGTACTGCAAATTGAGTTCCAAAAAATATTCTCAGCTCAACACTCCATCACTATTTAAGAAGAATAATACTGTAAATTCCTCTCCCTTACATTCTCATTTTAGAATGGCAAGTCAAATTGAGAATTTCTAGGCCTCACCCGTCCCTCCTCCCCTTCCTTAAATGGCCAGTATTCATCTACCTATGGCATTGGCCTTAAGTAACAATAGGCTGTTCTTCTTGATTAATAGGTCATTTAAAATGTGCCTGCCAGAGCCAAAAAGATGTCCGAAAATGGATCAACCATAATCAACCAGTTAATCACAAAGGGAGAACTACCATAATGCCCTTCTCTGGTGACTCCATATCATTAGCATCCAACCCTACACTAGGATGACTTTAGCCATGATTTGTAGGGAAATGAGACATACTCACAGACTACCAACAGTACACCTGTCCCATTCTCTTAATCTCTCAAGATATTACGGCTTTGAGGAACTACAAAGAGTAGTCCATTCCCATTAAAAAAAAATTTCAGGAACCCTGGGCCAGGATTTGTAAATAGTCTCTGCAATATAATTTGTTTTTAGTAAATTGTAACAGGACTTATATAATGCTTTCTATTTCAGAATGTTTGAGCTTCCTTTCTTTGATACAGTTCTCTTCCTCTCCCCAACTTCACTCCCAAATCACCCAAAATCCATCCTTACAGATGAGTTAACAAGGAAAAAGTAGAATGAAACTATCAAACACAGCCCTAGGATTCAAGAAGTCTAATATTTGGTTAAAACCACAACAACCCTACCTACATAAATCCTGCCTTTGGCATAAGATAGTGCCCTTAAATAGACCTCAAGAAGGCTTGAGAGATTTTGTTTCCAAATACATATGCACCAACCCATGCACTGAGCTTATACTTTAATGCATCTAGGTCCTGATTAGTGTGAATAATGAATCCAAACTGCATGTTTCCAATGGTTTGGAACCTACTGCCATATTTTATGTAATTATAACACTGAATTATGTGAACTTAAATACTACAACCACTTCAGGGGGTTCACTATTTGTACTAATCAGACCTGGCTGTGTTCATTCAACACAAATCAGGACCTAGCTGTGCTCCCTCAGCACTAATTGGGATCTGGCTGTGCTTACTTATGAGGGCCTCTCAAACTAATGCTGAATAATTTTAAGAATCTGACCGTCTAATGACTGACCTCTTCAAGGCCTAGTTCAAATGCTACTGGCTCCAAGATGCTCTCCTTAATTTTTTTCCTCCTAGTCCATCTCACATCAAAGTCAATATACACTCATACAACTTTCCTTGTTTCTTGCAGCAGCATTTACAATGTTCTGTCTTATGATGCATTAATCTGTGGACATACTTATCTCCCTCACTAGAAAGTGAAGTCCTAGACAGCAGGGACCATATTTTCATAATTTATTAATTCAGTAAAGATTCCCTAGGCTGTACAGTAGAAAGAGCATTGGCTCTAGTCTTAGAAAATTAGGTTCAAATTCCACTTTTGGTGATTAATACTCGTGCAATTTAAATAAGTCACTCAACTTCCCTAGGCTTCAGATCCCTCAACCATAAAATAAGGACATGGTGGTGTCGCAAGTGCCTTCCAGTTCTAAATTTATGATTCCATGATCCTAAACACCAGGAAAGCCCTGGAGAAGCTACCAAGAGGAATAGTGCCTATCATCATCATCATCATCATCATCATCATCATCATCATCATCATCACATTCTATATCCCTCATAATCTTTTTAAAAATTTTATTGATATCTTTTGTTCTTATATCACTTAAATTTCCCATGTATCCTTCTCTCTCTGCTCCAACAGTACCATATCATATAATAAAGTACTTTTAAAAGAAAATTTTTTAAAAAGAAGAAGAGAAAAACACCAGGAAAATCAATTAATAATATTGAAAAAAAATCTTATAAACGCAATGCTCCATTTGCATAGATCCCTCACTCCTATAAAGAAGTTGGGAGAGGCTTCTTACATTTCTTCTTTGGGGCCAGGTACCTTACAATGTCTTGATAAGAGTATGTACTAAATGAATACCTGTTGAGTGATTTAAATTTTTAAAATATAGTATTATACAAGATATCCTCTTCAATTCTAAGTGGATAAGGTTCCACAGACCTTTGAAAAAACACAAATCCATGAGTATTTTCCCCTAACACAAAATGCTTTGGACAGCTGCTTGAAATCTCTCCAAAGTTCTCCTTTTCTCAACATTCGTTCAATTGTTACTTATCAGTGAGAAAGAAATGGAGGAGCCTGATGTGTCTTTAAGCACTTGGGAAATTATTTTTTAACCAACAGGCAGGAGCATGATGGCACCCAATCATGAATAGAAGACAGAGATGAAGCAACAAGAGTGAATGGGAGACAAAGAAAGAACACGCAGCCAATATGTTTAACAGGGAATCCTGAATGAGCAAATGCAGATGGGGGGTCCCCTGTGGATCACATACCCCCTCGAGAGTATATATTCCAACAGGTATACACTTTTAGGGGCCTCAGCCATTTCATTTGTGGAAATCCACAGCCCTGTGGCTGTTTGTATAGCTCTAGGCTCTTCTTACACACTGGATGAGTGTCCTATCATAGGCACAAGGAGAGAAATGAGCTTCCATATTCACCAAGCTCCTCATATGCATTATGCCTCCAAGGATTCCATCCATATCCTCCACTGGAACACAGATGGGTTTCCCATATACTACATCTAAATAAAGACATATGAATATATACTATCATTGCCTCCCTACTAGACTGTAAATTCCATGAGGTGCATCTCACTGGCACCCACCCTCAAACACAAACACGTGCGCGCACCCCCCTCCCCCCATGGAGAACAGTGCTTTTTGTACATAGTGACACTTGGCAATTACTTTTGTCAAGATGACTTAATAAGGAACAAGGTTTTGCAAAACTCAGAATGGATTTCTGGGAAGTTCCTCATAGGTATAGCTACAGTTCTCTTAGGTTCTAAGAGGAATGTTTACCACCAGCCTCTACTCAGCACCCATCCAGAGCCTCTGAGACATCACCAACAGATCAAAAGGAGAACTGCAATAAAGTGTGCCAATTACAGTAGGTGGAGCATCCCAAATCTTGTACAAAATTGGAGGAAATCTATATATAAAGATAATTAGCCCTGTTCTAATCTAAAGAATACAAAATTTTACAACCTTTTTAATTATGGGGAGAGAGAATTAGAAACATGCTGCAAATGATGTACTTAAGCTTATATCACTGGAGTATAGGAACTGTCCCTGGTTACCCATTTTATTAAAATGTTCAATGTTACATGAGTACTGTTTAATGTGATGTTGAGGACAGAATTAGGCAATGACTACAAAAGATTTTATTGAATACCTACTATGTGCAAGACATGATAAGCCCATCTTTAACACTATTCTGCGAGACTAAGGGCCAGGCAGAAAGAAGCTTTATAAAGTACTCAAGGAACAGAAAAACAAACTAGGCAGCAGCATGAAGAGGAAACAATACAAGACTGGGGCATTAAGACACCTGGATTTAAATCTTGGCTCTGCCATCATGTGGTTCTGAATGACTCAGCCTTTCTGAGCTTCATTTTCATCATCTTTAAAGGGAGAATAATAATTATTGGAAGAAGTGCAACGGATAGAGAGGTGGTCTCAGAGTCAGGAAGACCGACCTCTGACACAGAGTGGCTGCTGGATAAGTCATTTAACCCCTGATGCACTCAATAAGCTCTCTAAGTCTAAGCTGCATGTCTGCACTGATGGGCAATATTCCTTCCACCAATGAAACTGCAGGATTTCTGGATAATGCTAATAATGATGATCAAACAATCCTTCATCTAGAGCTGGAAGGGACCTCAGGTACCACCTAGTTCAACAGCTTTGTTTTAGAAATAAGGAAACTGAGGCACAGGCAAGTGAAATGACAAAATTACACATTATCAATAGTGTCAAAGTCAGATTTAAACCCAGATTTTTTGACTAAAGAAAAATTATAATGATCCACCACAAAGATGAAAAGACTGAAACGATAAGGAGTAGTAATAGTAATGACACTCCTTACCTCAGACTCGTGAGATCAGAGAACATAAGTATAAGTACTTTTTAAGACGTGAAGTGCTAAGCAAAAGATGGATGGCAATAATGTTATTTGGGGGAAATGGCTGGTATTTGTAGCATTAGCTTCGGTCTCTTAAGTTTCTTCTCTTCAAAAAACAATTATTCAAAATATCAAGGAATACCTGTCTAAATTTCAGCACAACTGAAGTTTATCTGAGACCTAAAACACAATTATGTAATAACCATTATGCCACCCTTGTGAAATGGAGCCACCAGAGGGGTTACTTCTTAGCAGCTTCACAAAAGATGCGGTTTTGACACCTAAGAAAAAGCTGTGGTCACTGAATATTCTGGAAAGCCGAGCATCAAGGGATTTTTGGATAACAGGTACTTCCAATCCAGAGGAGAGGCTTTGGTGTTTGTCTTCCTCCTCCCTCACATTTGGGAACACGGCTTTGGCTCTGGCAAGTCTGCTCAGTGCCATTTAGCATTAAGGAACCAAAGAATTTCCTAGTGCTTGAATATTAACAGAAGATTCTTTTGCCCGTGTTCCACAGTCCATTCCTTTGTATGGACAAGCTTCCTAAATGAACTGAAGTCAGTTTTGCTCTATCAAAAGGCTTTTAACAGATAGACTTTGGTTCAAGGTTCTTCAAATACACAGCTGGGCAATTCATATACTATGTTAATAACCATAGGCTCTTTATGTTTAATTTATTCAAAACTATTCACACACTCTATATGCATATTCTTTGGGACCATCTTCAAACGTATGTCCAAATGCAGCATACTTAATGTAAGGTTAATGGACAATATCCATTCTTCCCAGCAGATGATATAAGAACAGCAATACATTACATGCTCAAATATCATTATCCAAAGCGACAATCATAAATGTTCATTGTTTCCTTTAAAGCTACAACTCAACCTTTTCCAACTGGGAAACAGACTAAGCAGTGGAGAACATGCAGGCACACTTTTACCAAGGTACTCATGTCAGTCAAGGCATGTTTCAGACTGATTCTTCTCATAAGCCATCAATATTAGAATTTTCTTTAGTGAAACTTTCTCAGATCATGGATTTGGAGTTTGAAGGTACCATTGAAACCATATAGAACAGGCGCCTCCTTTTGCAGATAAGGAAAATCTGTCCCAAAGAGATTCAATAACTGTCCATGCTCAGAGAGGTAATAAGGGGGCAGTGCCAAGATTCCAACTCAGTTCCCCTGATTCTCACAATCTCTCACTCTTTCCACGCATCCCTCTGTCAAGC